CCTGGTCACTGCCACTAAAATTTATCAGTACAGTTCACCTTTGTACTGTACCGGCTCACTTGCTTTGCTGTAAACGATCCACGCACGGGCGCTTAAGTCTATGTAGACGGGCAAATGCAAGGTTAAAAGAGGCCGCCAACCTCTTAAATATATATATATACGAGTTTGGTGCTCCTTGAAGAGAGGTTTTCATGAAGTGACAAGATATTATACAGTATTCTGAAGACCGCTCGGAGATTTTTGTTTTCTGAAGACGGAAGACAAATTTTGTTCGCACACTCTCACATCCCCAGTCTGCCACTAAGTTAGTTAATATTGGGATAAATGAGTCCACTATTCGCACTCACAGTTACATGGATATTGAAAAACCTTTAAAGACTCTTCTGCCATTAATCCTTGATAATATTTTATTTTACTATATGTGATTTATACTGCCCTAAAGGGGTATCTAGCTGTCCAACACCAAGCCAAGACATTTGGGAGCCTTATTACTAGAAGTGAGCTCTTAATTGCAAAGCAATTCAATCGATGGAGCTGGCTTTTCTGAGAATCTGATTTGAACTTCAAAATTATATTTTTATAGTTAAAGAAGCTTATTGCAATTAAAGCATTGCAAAACGCTCTGTTTCGACCCTCAAATGCCAAGGCCCCTAGATGATCCCCATTCCTGGCTGAAACCCATAGTAAGATATCGTCGGTATGCTAAAAAACATCTACATTTGAATTTGGTTAGACATAAATATCGACAGGTCAGTGAAAAGTGAAAATAGGAACGCAATGAGGATGGGATACCGGGTAAACTCCCTTAAGAATAATAGGCGAAGCAGAGGTAGTGGTAGTTGCATGACCACGAGTTAGTTAGGGGCCAAGGAAGGGTCTCCGGACTATTATTGTTCTCCCTTGGAGGAAGGACAAACCCCATTCGTGGTGGGTCTGATGATTTTCGGCTTTGAAATCGATCAGTAGTTTACAAAATATATTTAACGTATTGGAAAAAAGTGTAAGACGTATACATTAGCCCTCACGTATGAGGTTGAATACATTTATTTTTAACGATATTTTAATAAAACCAAAAATGAAGCAGAATAACTTACCTGATCAAAGGATTGGCTAAAACTAAGAAATATCCATAAACGTCTGCACATCTTCATTGAAATGCAGGATTCATTCTTAAAACTTTACAGCGACTTTATAAAACATAAATGCAAAAGTTTTATGTTTACAGCTTTATGATAAGATGAGGTTTAGCCTTATCCTCGGTGACTTTGCTCGACTTCACTTAAACTTTAAGTTTGGAAATGTTAAAAGAATCAGAATTTCGCAGAATGAGAATACTTTTACCTTTCTATCAAATAATTTTACAACGAAGCAAGACATTGTTGTAAATTTTGTTATCTATACTATTATAAAGTAAACTCAAAAAATACTGGTCGGATTGGGCTGAAATTTGGCATGATGATAGCTCACATTCCCGATTAACATATAGGCATATTCTTATTTCAAAAATCCTTTCGCCAGTGGCTCTGGAGTATCCCATGTTAACCTTATGAGAAATGGAATTATTGAATCTTAACAGCTGTTTCAATTAAACAAGTTGGTTCTGTTCTATGATGTTCAATAGCATTAAAGTTACAAGGATTACCAACAGGGTGCAGCACTATTATTTCTTTTACATTTATGACAACAGCTAATTTGCAACCAAAAGGTGAGTGAGCGTAGCGAACGAACTTCAACCTGGAGGCGAGTTAGCGTAGCGAACGAGCTAACCTGAAGGCAAGTGAGCGCAGCGAACGAGCTCCAACCTAAAGGTGAGTGAGCGTAGCGAACAAACTTCAACCAGGACGTGATTGAGCCATGCGAACGAGATAATCTTGAAAATTAAGAAGTTAAACGGGGCAAAGCCCGCGGGTTACAGCTAGTTCCCAATAAATAGATAATCCACCTAAACTTCTATTAGGGATTATTCAGTAATTTTCATGAAGGAGAATCAATAAATCAAACAATCATTTATTCATTCCATCCAGTGTAAAACTTTGGCAAAAATAATAACTAAAACAAAATACAGTTTAATTAGATACTGTGGCCATTATTGAATTGTAATAAGTTATTTATTATGTTTCCCTTACTTTGTAACAACTTGAATAAATAATATTCAAAGCCCTACATGATCTGTAATATATTACAGAATAAATACAGAATATTACTGAATATATTACACTACATAATCTGTTTTTATTTAAATAGTTTTGGACTGGTTGAAAAAAAACTAGAGAAAGAGGCTAGATCATTTTATCCCAGAATAAGAAAGAGAAATGGAATAGAATATAGAAATATAGAAATATAGGAATATAGAAATAGAATATTAGAAATTAAAATTGTGCTGATTTAAAAGTAAAACATCGTAATTCTGAAATACTTTTGATTAGATTTTATGTTTGGCAACCATATATTCGTCAAAAGTAAATTCAATGTTTTTACACAATTTTGATTTAGATGGTTGAAAACATCGTTGGTAAAGAAACGAGTAAAGAAAATGATGTGGTTACTTCTCTCGTTAGTGTTATTTCACCATCCGGGAATGAACTTAAATTCGAAACTTTGATTAAACCCTCGGAATCTCATCTGATCTAGGTTGGTAGGGAGAATTCTTTTACAGTCTTTTTTGACGAATCACTAAGTCCAAGTTGATTCAGTTGTTTAATAAAGGACAGGGATTCACCGCTGTAGGATTCATAATGAAAGTGAATCCGTGAATGAGTGGATTTATAAGTTTTAAACAAATTTAGCCACCGTATCAGGGTTGAAAAACTGGTTATATTTCCTATTTTTCTGCTACGTCAGCCTGTGATTTAACTCTAAATATTTATTTTCCAGCAAGATACACAGTTAATAAAAACGCCATATGCACCATTAATTTGTATTAGTTATTTTCAGTCATATTTTCTCCAGTGCTGACTTATCAATCCCAAATGGTACCAGTCCGGGCCTGCTTACCATCTACCTACAAAACCACGTGTCCGGGTTTTGAATAGTGTATCTACATCCACTAATCTCCAGTACTGCACGTTTAACATGGGGTTTACGTGGGCAATTGGAGTTTTTGGTTAAATACTGGAAAACTATAAAAGATAGACGGTGGGTTTAAATTTAACAGTTGCTTGTTTTCGCAAAACTTTCAAAATGGTACGCAATTTAACGTATGTTGCCATTTAAAATTTTTGTATTTACATGGCTACCAACATAAAAAATCATTGAAAAAATATTTAGTTTAAAAATATTGATATCTGCAAATAAACGTAAATCTGAAATCTTGAGGACTAAGAGTATTCAAACAGAACGAAAATAAGTTTGGTGGTTTCCAAGATAGGCCTACAGGGTATTTTGTAAATATATATATTTTTTCCATACAAATGGCCGTCATTTTGAGTTATGTTTTCACTTAATTGTTTGTCTAGTCTAGAGCTTTAAAATGACGCATAACATTACATATGTTTATATTTGAAAACTCTGAGACTCGAACCCATGACCCCCAGTTTCTCGAACACCATGTTATTAAAAAAAATGCAAAAATATGTTAACGTTGTTCTTTGGGTATGAATTAGGGGGGAAAGCTTCGTTTCTATCACTGTATGTCAAGCCGTTTGTGTACAATATGTTTAGGACAGCTTAAATGACTCACCCTATACGACGCCTGGTAGCGAACGTGTTAATCTTTAAAACAATATCGTAAGAAAATGTGAATTAACGAAAAACATTTGTATTACAAACAAAAAATTCTAGCGTATATTTGATCGCTGTAATAATAACAACTTTGAAATGTAAAAGTATGCAATAAAACGAATAACACTCTTACGCCCATACATAAGTTTAAGTCTCCCATCTTGTCATTGACATCGTTTGACATTTAAGCTCACCAAAGACCGCAGATAAAAATATAATATAAAAATTCACATTTCTGTGACATCAATTTTCCGCTTTTTCACTACTACTTCTAAATAAATTTAGTTTCTGTCTGTTTTATCATTGGTATTTAGCATAAGGTAATAGTTTTATGCCAATTAATACCCTCAGACGTAATTATATTATTTGGAATGCCTCAGTACTTCAGGGGTTAAGTTTTGGGGAGGGAGGGCTGAGTAAAATAATCAGTATTTGATCGAAACTATTTTCCCCTATCAGATTTTTCCCCTTTATACTGTAAATTGTAATTTTCTAGTATACTGTGGATGGCTGTTATGAACACTTTACTTTATTTTTCATCTATATCGAGTAATCTACAGTGTACTCTTTGCACAAAAGTAACTGGTGTTTCCCCTTATTACTATATTTTGTAATTTGCTAGTCGACTGTGGATGGCTTGTCATAAACAGATCTTACAAGTCTTTTGTTTACTTTCCCCTTGTTATTTTGTTCAACTCACATACTGACATCATATAACATTATGACAGGCCAAAAACTTAGCAACCCATAAGACCAATGTTAAAAAGATTTTCAACTTTTAAATTCATAGTTTGCAGTTTTAACTGCAGTAAACCCGTTTTTAGGCAAGAAATAAATTATTCATTATATTTGTATAACGAGATCTTTGAGCAAACATACATACAAGCAAACATAGCTTATATAAAGTATAGATAGCATATAGGATAGGAAATAGGATAGGATATGATGATCAAATACAATGATTTATTTGTAAACTAATACTTATTTTCTGGAGCCAGAAAAAAAGCAAATATGGTAAATGTACCCTCAAATAACAAATACTTTTGTATTCAACATAAGCATTAGTATGCAATAATCACATCACATTAAAACCTTCTTATAATTAACTAAAAAATAATATGAATAAAAAAAAAATTATATAATTAGTATTTTCGATTATACAACAGCAGAGTTATTCGCCTTAGAGTTTCATCTCACAATAATGTCATCAGTTTAAGTTTTAACTAACTCTTAATATTCTCCCACAATATTAAAGAATCGTCTTATTTATTCTGTTTCAGAACGTTGATAATGAGTGCACGACATGCTAATTTTGATACTCTTGGGCGGTCTTTGGGCTACAACTGACTCCTCGTCATACATACCAGGTAATTTACATTTACTTCATTTTATACCACGCACACTACAGAATCATGGTTTTAATAGTAGCATTAAGTAAGAATGTAAGTAAATCATACGTGCACATAGTATGCGCAAAAAGAGTATTTCTCACACTCAATTATTTTCTGACCTGAAATCTTTGGTTCCTTTCGGTAAATTAAGGCTCGTGTAAAAAAATATCTTTAGGCCATACGTATTTACAAACATAACATTAACATTTTTAAGGCAGGAGGTATTGGAATGGCACAAATCTTTCACATATATATACATATTAAATATAAATATGTATGGATATATTAAGGATGTATCAAAAAACTTCTCCTTTCTCTTGTTTACAAACACTATGGAAAAATATCAATTTCTTTAAAATTGGGCTAATCCTGTCCAGAGTACGATGTAGGTAAGTTGTTTTCCCAGCTCAAAAAAATCAAATGTGCTGTAGAGTGTGTCAATAAAATTAACTCTTTGGCAATGTATGAACACATGGCATATATGAGTAGATTTACAGAAAAAAACGAATATGGAAAATTTTTTTAGTGCACCAAAAGTTGTTGCATTATCAAAGTTGTTTTTATCTTCCAAGGTGGCCAGAGCTACTCCGGCATGTCCGTGCTGAAGACGACTGCTTGGGGCGAGGACCTATTGACCTCCAGTGCACCCTCCACCCCTCTGTACTTCCTGGACCCTGAGAGTTCCTTGAACGTCACCGGCCAACTAGGGGCTGCCGTCGACCTTCATTGTAGAGTCAGCAGACTGCCAGGAGATACCACGGTGAGGTTCATAGGGTTGGCTTAGTTTCCTTGTAGTATTAAGTTATTGTATGTGTTAGTACCTTTTAACGACGAGGTTAGTAAAGGATGGATAGTAAATATTTTGGTTAGTGAATTACAGGTCACATTTTATTAAGATTATTCAGTTTAGTGGGAGTCTTTAGACTAAAATAGCATATTTTAGGTCAAATACATATTTTGGGTCTGGGTAGTTTAAGTTTATTTTAGCTAAGGCATTTGGCGAGGCTGCTCTTCCCACCCTGCACCCGAAAACTTAATTGAAAACCTATTAAGCTAGTTAACGAAATTGTATTGCATTTGTAAGTGCGCTGTGTATATTGCATACCACGAGCCCTTTCAAAAAGACATCTAGGGTACTACAGGAAATATTGTTTAGAAGATTGTATTCAATAATTTGTAGTGGTGAACATTTTTCATACAACATGAGTTGAAAGAAAATTAAGCTTGAATGTTTTTATGAGTTTAAATAGGAACAATAGTGTAAGGTGTTTAAACCTAAGGTTAAATAAAGATAGGAGACAAGGAGATTGTACAGATTTAATTATAAAAGTTTATACACTGTGATCACTACATCAACATTTATGTTACACCATATACACATTCCGATAAATTCATTTTTTTTATTCACTCAAAGGATAGTATCTTAGCCTTCTCAAATCAAAGATAGTATTTGGAGACCGAAAGAAATAATAAGAAATGTAGTAATTATGATATGGTATTTGAACAAAAAAATTAAACAAATCCCAAAATTATAAAAGCTTAAGCATTTAAAGCATATCTAACATTTACCTTAAAATTTACTGACTTCTATTATTTTATTTTTTAAATTAATACGCCATTATTTTAAACAAAACTCTTAGTTGCAGCGAAATTAATAATTTTAAATACTTTCAAGATGTTATAAACTTACTATAATTGCCGCTGTTAAGAATAAAAAATAATGAGTAACTGAGGGATGAATCTCAAAAGGTTAAAATCAACAACTAACACAATAAATTGAATAATTAGACCATCAAGAATAATTAGGCTATAATTCTCAATTACGAAAATACTAAATCGAGTGATTAAAAACCAGAGTAGTAAAGATTAGTGATGGGCTACATTGACAAAACGATGACGAGCAGAATTTTTATCAACGATAAATTGTGCACACTCAGCTACGGTCTGTATTTATTGCGGATTGATTGTTGAATCAGAACCCGTCAACACAGTGGAGAAAACAATTTCATTTGGAAAATGTTCAATTTAAATGCAGATAGCTGTCGAACCGAACACGACGACAAGGTTTTTATTGAAGGTTCCGCAAATACAAAAGAACATGGTTATTGTCGGTTTCACGTTTATTTATGTCTGTTCTCAATAACATAACTTGCACCTTGTAGAGAAAAACCAACTTCTAATACCTTAACAGACATAGTTTGGCATGAATTTACCTTGATCATGATTTAAATATAAAGCTAAGAAGGGTCTGAATTTCTGAACACCTATAAATCGCATACCTGAATGAAAGGCCTTGATAGCTTCCTCGAAAAATATTAGTTTTTGATAAACCCTTAAGTATTTGGTACAAACCTTAATTAAAGGATCGTTTTTATCACATTTAAATAATAATAATATTTTTTTTATTGTAGTCGAAAAATACCTTGGATTACAAACGTCAGATTGGATTTACAGATACATATTTGTAAAAAAACAATACAAGTTATTATTTACATTTTGTCAGGTCAAAATTATTTTGAAAAATTCCTTACAGTTTTATTTTTATTTTTTTAAATATTGAATTTAAGTCACCCGTTTACAGTATTGGATTTTTTATATTTGGTTGATTAACTTTCATATCAGTTAAGCTTATAGATCGTCTATGTACATAAAACAAACAATTTATGAGTTTTGATTATGCTATGACAGCTCATTAGTTAGCTTTGTATACAAAAGAGATCTTAATTTAAATAAACAATAAGTTCAATTGAGCTTTGCCTCTATGACTTATGGTAAGTGTATTATAACTGTTTCTTATTGTAAGTCTTGAAAACAATGCATTGTTCTTCTATATTCTCACACTATAGCACCCCGAAACATGGTCAGAATAAATAGCCAGTATAATTAAAAGAATTATCAATTATTTCAATTATCAATTATTTAAGATGGGGACGCCACTATGTGCGTATTTTAACCCAAATATGAGTGAAGTATGAGTGTAGGATGAGTGGCGCGATCTTGTAGTCTTGTTAGTGACTAAGGCCGACATGTTCCTTATACACAGCTGTTAATTAATAGCCCATACAGCTAATGGCAACTAAGGGACCTACAGTTTATAGTGGAATCCGAACCATATTTTTTCCTTGTAATTTACGAATTGGTCTAATTATCAGGATAGTACTGCGGATAGTCGTAGTACTCACTAGTGCGAACGTTAATCCACACCAGGGAGCATCGCATCCACAGAGAATCCCTATAAATATCCACAATTCGTGACCTCCTAGTACCTGGATTACAGGACGACGCCACCCGTCCCAGTCATATATAACATAGAATATATAATAAAGAGGAGGTTTTGGTGTCTGTTTATTTTGAGTGGACGCAAAAGCTACCAAATCGACCGTGCAGACGTTTTATACAAAGGTAAATCAAAACTTCGGTCTATTTATTCTTAAATTCTCTTGGGCTCCTTTCCGTGGACGGACAAAGCAAGTTTCAATGATTACATCTAACACATTCGATAAATCTAAATAACCAAGTATAAAATCTATATATTTAATAGGCCAACATGAATTTATTCGACAATAGATTTGGAAATTCTGTGAGGCGGTGATTCGCCACCATGTTGGGTCCATTTATCTAGAAAAGAGCTAGATTTCTACGGCTCGGACAAATTTCGTAGAACGGTTACAATTCTTCATGTTAGTTACAGCCCCCTGGTTACTGCCTCCGGATTGCCAATAAATATTGACAATCGTGTGGATAGCATTGACCGACCATGTGATCCCCAGGTGTCTTGGCTGAGACGGCAGGACGGTCAGCTGAGACTGCTAGCTGTAGGTCTGGAGATCTACTCCACGGACCCACGGTACTCCGTGAGGCTCTCAGACCCCGGGGACTGGAGTCTCAGGTTGAGGGTGCTCCAGGAGGCTGACCAGGGACAGTACGAGTGTCAAGTACCATCGCATCCTCCAAGAGTACACTCCATTCACCTCCATGTCGTTGGTGAGTTCTCAACTACGATAAAAACATTAGTTGGGATTCCAAAGGGAACATTCCCCTCCCATCCGTTACTTCTCTGTAGGTGCTAACACAACTTGATAGTGAGTTTGTGAATAGTGAATAAAGAATTTTACTATTTATTATGGCCCTAGTTCATGCGATACTTTATTAAAAGTACTTGGAGCCTAGACGTTTTAACTCATAAAACAATTAAAAAGCTACAAAGCAAATTTCTAATCCCACAGTATACTAGATATTTACATTATAATCACTTATGTGTTTGAAAAACTAATTTTGAATGATAATTAATATATCAGCAGGTGTTAAAAATAATCCAAGATGGGCGCTAGCCTCCAAGGGCTCTTAAAAAAAATTTCAATCCTTTTTTACAAAAAGAAATTACTTAAATCCTTTATGTTTTAAATATTTTCTTTTGAAGCGAGCAAAAAGCTTATCCACACATGTTGAGTTCACATAATTGGAACTGACAAAACAATCTCTCTCGACAAATGAAAACCCAGAGTCAGAAGCTTCCTAAAATGTTTGGACGAGGTAAACATTGGTTTTCCTCATTGTTGTTATCATTAACCAGTAAATCTCCTTAAAATATTATTATAGAAAATATAAATAAATGTAACAGATTCAAGCAAATTAACTGTTATTTTAGAGACGGTGTTTTCCAAACAAGTGATATAATCCAAGTAATCTTTTAGTATCATTATTTATTGAGTATGCTGTATCCCTTGATGTTCAAGTGGTTAATAGATCTGTATGATGCCGACTTATAGAGTTGCGTATTTCAACGTAATGAGGGGTGTGATAAATCAATGATGTGGTCTAGTTACATCTGGTTGCGATAGATATATTTATGGAGCTATTAGCTATAACCAGTCTTCAATGGTTTAACATGTAGCTATACTCTTCGAGTGATGCGATCATTGAGCTATAGTTATATCTGAATTCTTTTTTGTAAGGCAATCGCCTTTGGTTACCAATAAAATAGGACTACAGACATTAAGTAGCCTAGTAAAGTGAATGTTCCGGACAGATAATAAAGAGTTAATAATATAGGCCTAACCGAAGCATAATTCCACAAGGGTTATGCAGTTTATGTGTTTCCTAAAAGCACGTTTTTGCATTCAGCTAATTCTAAAATAAATTAATACATTAGTGGTTTACCAATATACTTTACAAACTTGAGTATATCGTGTTATTTATTTTATACCCTGCATTGTATCATTATTTTAAAATTTATGTTAATTAATTTCAAATTTCCATTCACAGACCTTTTTATTTCATGGAGTTTGATTGATTCAGTAAAGTTATATAAAAAGGTTGTTTATTTATATTTTTAGTTTTTTTTATTGCAAACAGGACGAACATTTTCTTCCACTAAATTAGAATAACCTTGTTTTCATGACTCCGAAAATAAGAGCTTATGAAGCCAAGAGCATTAACTTCAGTGGAACGTTATCTATCACCAGGACATAAAAAGGAAGCCAAAAGGAAATTTACGACCTTAGTCAGGACTCTTGAGTTAAATTCAAACGCTTCTTGAAAAGTTTTAGTTTAAAATCCGTGTCAACGTTGGTCAGATTCAATGAAAAGAAAGATAAAAAACAAAAGTTTGTTGTTTTCATTTTTGGGGTTAAGAAAACTTGTTAAACTACAGTCGGATTTAATCCGCAATGTATTAAGTAGTTATATGAAGTGTAGACTGTTTTGAGTGGATTTTTCCCTTTAACAATTTCTACCTTATCTGGCCTAGCGGATATATTTCAATGACTGTCTTTAACGTTTATGTGATTTTGCACTGAGTAGAATTTAACACAAGATTAGAGCAAAGGGCAAAGCAATTGGAACTGGGTTTTGAACTGTATCTTTATGGTTTCTAAAAACTTTCAATACTGAACGTTTAATTTTTTTATGGAGAGTACAGATCATTGAATATAAATGTATTAGACCACACCCTAGTATTTACTTAGAATGTTTCTATGATTGAAAATGCTATGGACTTCATGTAGTACCTACTGATTAATATAGGTATAGGTAAAATAGGTATTATGTTTACAGTTGGCATTAATAAGAATCATACATACTAAATGCTGCAACTACTAGCAAGACTAAGTACGAATTAGGATTGTAATATGTGAAGAAATAAAAACAATAATTTTAGTTTCCCATTTTTCACAAAGTAGATAGAGTATACACCCATGCTAATACAGCCGTTTGAGGTTGGCCAGGTCCCTCTAATTCCTATCTTACAAATTATGTATACTGCTTCCCTATATACATTTGGGCCTACTTAAATTAACAAAATTGCACAGATTTATTGCAATAATTCAGGCAGACTCTTTGATTAACCATATGTAATGCGTCGAAAATGGAGTGATGGAAAAGGCAAATAAGGATTGACTCCTAATATATACTCTGGCTTTCGTCAGTATCATCCGTGTTGTAGTTCCAGAATTGGACATCACAGACGAGAGGGACGTTCCAATAAGGGACAAGTTCTACAACGCAGGCAGTACCATACAACTCAAGTGTAGACTGACCAGGGTACCTCGTCCTTCACACTTCCTACACTGGAGACACGGAGACAAGATACTCAACTATGACACTACTAGAGGGGGCATCAGGTCTGTAGCCATTCAACGTAGATATACCATAGAGTAATACGACACAGGTAGTACCGTACAACTCAAGTGTAGACTAACCAGGGTACCTCGTCCTTCACACTTCCTACACTGGAGACACGGAGACAAGATACTCAACTATGACACTACTAGAGGTGGCATCAGGTCTGTAGACATACAATGTAGATATACCATAGAGTAATACGACACAGGTAGTACCATACAACTCAAGTGTAGACTGACCAGGGTACCTCGTCCTTCACACTTCCTACACTGGAGACACGGAGACAAGATACTCAACTATGACACTACTAGAGGGGGCATCAGGTCTGTAGCCATTCAACGTAGATATACCATAGAGTAATACAACACAGGTAGTACCATACAACTCAAGTGTAGACTGACCAAGGTACCTCGTCCTTCACACTTCCTACACTGGAGACACGGAGACAAGATACTCAACTATGACACTACTAGAGGGGGCATCAGGTCTGTAGCCATTCAACGTAGATATACCATAGAGTAATACAACACAGGTAGTACCATACAACTCAAGTGTAGACTGACCAAGGTACCTCGTCCTTCACACTTCCTACACTGGAGACACGGAGACAAGATACTCAACTATGACACTACTAGAGGTGGCATCAGGTCTGTAGACATACAATGTAGATATACCATAGAGTAATACGACACAGGTAGTACCGTACAACTCAAGTGTAGACTAACCAGGGTACCTCGTCCTTCACACTTCCTACACTGGAGACACGGAGACAAGATACTCAACTATGACACTACTAGAGGGGGCATCAGGTCTGTAGTCATACAATGTAGATATACCATAGAGTAATACGACACAGGTAGTACCGTACAACTCAAGTGTAGACTAACCAGGGTACCTCGTCCTTCACACTTCCTACACTGGAGACACGGAGACAAGATACTCAACTATGACACTACTAGAGGGGGCATCAGGTCTGTAGTCATACAATGTAGATATACCATAGAGTAATACGACACAGGTAGTACCGTACAACTCAAGTGTAGACTAACCAGGGTACCTCGTCCTTCACACTTCCTACACTGGAGACACGGAGACAAGATACTCAACTATGACACTACTAGAGGGGGCATCAGGTCTGTAGTCATACAATGTAGATATACCATAGAGTAATACGACACAGGTAGTACCGTACAACTCAAGTGTAGACTAACCAGGGTACCTCGTCCTTCACACTTCCTACACTGGAGACACGGAGACAAGATACTCAACTATGACACTACTAGAGGGGGCATCAGGTCTGTAGTCATACAATGTAGATATACCATAGAGTAATACGACACAGGTAGTACCGTACAACTCAAGTGTAGACTAACCAGGGTACCTCGTCCTTCACACTTCCTACACTGGAGACACGGAGACAAGATACTCAACTATGACACTACTAGAGGTGGCATCAGGTCTGTAGTCATACAATGTAGATATACCATAGAGTAATACAACACAGGTAGTACCATACAACTCAAGTGTAGACTGACCAAGGTACCTCGTCCTTCACACTTCCTACACTGGAGACACGGAGACAAGATACTCAACTATGACACTACTAGAGGGGGCATCAGGTCTGTAGTCATACAGTGTAGATATACCATAGAGTAATACAACACAGGTAGTACCATACAACTCAAGTGTAGTCTGACCAGGGTACCTCGTCCTTCACACTTCCTACACTGGAGACACGGAGACAAGATACTCAACTATGACACTACTAGAGGGGGCATCAGGTCTGTAGAGATACAATGTAGATATACTATAGAGTAATACGACACAGATAGTACCATACAACTCAAGTGTAGACTGACCAGGGTACCTCGTCCTTCACACTTCCTGCACTGGAGACACGGAGACAAGATACTCAACTATGACACTACTAGAGGGGGCATCAGGTCTGTACACATACAATGTAGATACACCATAGAGTAATACAACACAGATAGTACCATACAACTCAAGTGTAGACTGACCAGGGTACCTCGTCCTTCACACTTCCTGCACTGGAGACACGGAGACAAGATACTCAACTATGACACTACTAGAGGGGGCATCAGGTCTGTAGTCATACAATGTAGATATACCATAGAGTAATACAACACAGATAGTACCATACAACTCAAGTGTAGACTGACCAGGGTACCTCGTCCTTCACACTTCCTGCACTGGAGACACGGAGACAAGATACTCAACTATGACACTACTAGAGGGGGCATCAGGTCTGTAGTCATACAATGTAGATATACCATAGAGTAATACAACACAGGCAGCACCATACAACTCAAGTGTAGACTAACCAGGGTACCTCGTCCTTCACACTTCCTACACTGGAGACACGGAGACAAGATACTTAACTATGACACTACTAGAGGGGGCATCAGGTCTGTAGTCGTACAATGTAGATATACCATAGAGTAATACAACACAGGCAGCACCATACAACTCAAGTGTAGACTGACCAAGGTACCTCGTCCTTCACACTTCCTACACTGGAGACACGGAGACAAGATACTCAACTATGACACTACCAGAGGGGGCATCAGGTCTGTAGACATACAATGTAGATACTTTTTAGATCCTAGGACCCTTGGTTCTTACTTTAGGCTAGGTCCAGATGGTTATTAATTTATTAATGATTGGCAGGATTTGAACACGAGACCTAGGTTACCCAGAATGCTTCGTGTTTTAGATAAAGTGCGTATAATAACTGCAATGTCTGCATTAAGACTTAGCTTATAGTAATACAAAATATTTAATTCATGCTCGGGCTAAAAAAACATAATAGTCGTAGTGCCATTCGCCACAGTTTCTCGTGGTTTCAGTGATTAATGTCCTGCTTAAACTCATAAATTTCAGCATACTAAATTTAGAAATAAATACACAAAATTGTTGTTAAAGGTTTTCCTTTTGGTAGACTTCTAAAAATTAAGGCACCACTTCCAGAAGATACTACCACCATATAAGATACTACGTGGCAGTGTCAGACTGTATTGTCAATCATAGAATCTATTAACTATTTATTGTCACTGAATGTCAGATTTATGTTTTTGGTCAGTGTGAGGACCGATGTGACCGAAGACGGAGCCTGGAGTAGACTGTTGCTGGCTCACGCTACCCCACGTGACACCGGAAACTACTCCTGTTCCCTATCTGATGTGGCTACAACTTCCGTAACTGTGCATGTCCTTGACGGTAAGTAAGGAGCCTCCTTATAACCGCAAATAACGTGCTTTTATGTCTTTTCAAACATATTTACTTGGAGCAATTGTAGTATAAATGTCCATTGGGCTTGCTCCACTGCTATGCATTTTAGTTCCACTTAAATGCAAACTCCGTATGGAAATCTCAAATTAAATTTTAGGTTACATGACACGCAGTTCCGTAAAGTACACGTGTTTGCACGTAATTTAGATAAATGCAGCTCTTAGAAATTCAGGTGGCTTTAGGATTTAGATGTACTAAGACTATGGGTTGAAACTCGACCCCTCTTAGTTTGTATTACCAAATGGAAGTGGGATAGTTTTAATCCAAACCCCAAATTAAATATCGCAAACTAATATTAAATTGGCATTGGCAAACGACAAATTAGTTTATTTATTTCATAGTTTATTATTTTGTTTATTTTCTATCTTCATTAACAAAAATATGTAGACCACTTAGCCAAGTCATTTCAAATTACTGGTGTTCAGCGAGGATATTAAACGTAATATATACTTAGTTTACACAATGTAGGAAGTTATTTTCTATTGTAATACTTTTCTCACGAAATACTTTTTCTTGAAACCTAATAAATTAAACGAGGGAACCCGTGTCCAAATCACGAATTTAATACGGGTCAATGCTTGTTTCTGAGGCAAAACTAATAATCCAATACCCTTTAATCTTTTAAAGGTCACGTTGGTTGAAGAAAATTATTAGGTCAACAAAACTACTACATTAAATTAAAATTAACTTTTTTTGTTACAATTGTTCCCTATGTTAGATAGCTTTAACCCACTCTACATTCGTGTAGGACGGGTGAGAAAAGGACGATACAGGGAAACCCATTATTGAACTATAATTATGCTTGCTTCTATGATATAGCTATATGATTTAGGGAAAGCTTGAGACACAGTGACAAGATACGAATGTTTTGTTTGTTAGGGGAGACTCCGGCAGCGATGCAGCATGGGACCTCTCCTCAGCTATCAGCCTGCTGGCCCCAGCTGATGCTGCTGATGACGTCATGGCTGCTGATGCTCAGCTGACCACATCAGCAACGCTAGCCAATCCACACCTTCGAGAGTTCCATCATCATTATTATACGAATTTCAACCTGTGTAGCTCTTAGGAGAACTTTTGTATAAAGTGTATAGAAATGAATACATTTTGCTGTTTACAATTTGGGTTTTAATTTTTAGTTGTAAAAACCTACAAGGTATTATTTGTAGACAAGAAAGCCATTTTACCTTTATTTAAAAGGCATCAACGCTTATCAAATAAATATTTGGGTTGAATTTTGTTTTCTAAAAGCGTTTGGCGGATGAGTAAATATTTCATGCAACAGATATAAATATCAAAGAGGCTTCTATTTCGCGCCCTCTTCTCGTTGAAAAACACGGGTACGACTGCTAGTTATATTATAAAGAAGAGGTGGTGTCAGTTTGTACGAGATAAAAGAATAAAACTACTGAACTGATTTGATTAAAATTTCACAAATACATTGCTACATGACCGAGGAACAGTTTAGAGCTATCCCCGCTTCGAAATTGACTTATGACTCTGCCCCATGGGCTTTCAATGTTTTTAGGTAAGGCTTTTAAAAGTAAATCTTCATTAGTCTCTATGGTAACAAGGAGCAAACTTACAATAACAAAAAATTTAATCTAGGAATGTAGAAATGTAGAAATGTCAAATGCATTTTGATTTCACAATTCCACGGAGCTGAAGCTGATTCAAACATATTAAAAACTGTAATAATATTACGGTACATACATTGGTAATAAGACGTTGACAAATCATCCTATCCTATTCCTATACTCTTATATGAGCAATGTTTGCTTGTATGTATGTATGTATGTAGTTTGAACAAAGATCTCAAAAACGGGTCTGACGTTGTAAATGATTTATTTCTGGCCTTAAAACGTGTTTATGCAGCTAAAACTGCCAACAAAATTTAATTACGCAAAATAATATAATTGAAAGTAAAAATATTTTCACAACTGGCCTTCTAGGTTGCCAGGTAGCCATGTTTTTTGAACGAAATAGCAAGGAAAAACTAAACAAGAGAGTTGTAACATGTGTTTATAACAAGCCAAAGGTTACATACTTTATTTTTATAAGTACAATGGCACCACTTTTATATCATCCCAGATAGCCTAAATAATTGTTCAACGAGCATACAAAAACAAAATTTGTATCAAGAAAGTGGTATAGTTGCATTCCGTCTCTGAATTAAATGGTAGATGTGAAACCACTTTACGGTATTTTCCATTTTTATGGTATTGTGTCTACTGAAGCCTGACCCCCTGCTGCAAAGCACGGGTATAGCGGCTGGTTAAATATTACTACCTACTTATTTGATTCAAAAATCTATTTATTCTATAAATGAATAAAAATAGATTATTGATTCAACAATCTATGTATTAGAATTTAAAATATAATAAAGAATAGACTAAATGTATGATTAAAATTGTTGGCTTACTTACGAAATTGTGAATGTCCAAAATCATTTTGAATGTTGGCAAGCTCATCAAAATGTGAGTGAAGATTTAATTTTTATCTATCAATAACAAAAACATTTTTCGCAATTAGGCCTCTAAAAAATAGTAGAAAAATATTTAATACACATTTGAATACATACAATTAAAAAAATAAGGAAAAGGTAAAGAAATATAATAAGGTACTACTGTAGGCCTACCATTTGGAACATATTATGGAGTACTAAAAAGACGGAATTTATAACTCCTAAGGTGTTAAGTTTTCTGAGGATATTTTCAAGTTTTGGATATTGACGTTTTTAATAATGTCTGACTACACAAGTTTTTTACAAAGATAATTTATTTTTGCAAACAATATTTTCAAGAAAATTTATTCACGCCACTAAGTGGATTTCGTTTCAAATTAAGTTCAATATTTACAACAGTTTCATTTCTGACGACAAAAAATATTTCAACTGAAATATCTCTTGTTTAAACAAACGCAATACTTTCATAGCTCAATATTTTGTTATCCTTTTATTTATCTGGTGTAACCTATTAAGATATTTTGTTTGTGGATAATGAATTGAGTAAAAAAATATACTTGGAGGATAGTAATTGGCTGATTTAAAAATTTAAAATACCAGAATACACTATGGTACCAAGATAACTACTAAAATAACACTACTGATACTACAAGACTACCACTGTACGGCTACTAAAATAACTATAGTAAAGACATCTCTGATTAAGTACATATTAGTTTAATAGTACCTATACCGTGTCATAATACCTGTATTATTATAACGTTTTGACTATATTTCGTGTGGTATGGGGTACTTGTATTAACTTGGGTACTTTGTATTAACATTAGAGAATTGTATTTTTGGAAGGTAGCTTAGTAAAATAGGGTAAACTCTTTACACCTGGGATTAGTAAATTTACGATAGCAATACCTATCGAAACAGGTAATAAAATCAAAGTGGGTTTGATTTGAACAAAACCCAATGTTTGCTTTCGTAGATTACCCTTTCAACAAAAACAAACTTTTTGTTTCAGGAATCACGGAATTCCCTCAAGACTCGACACAAGTTTCTCATTTTCCTAAATGTTTCAATTGCATTTGCCCCACTTTAAAGAGCTCGGAGGGTTGCATATGGGTGTATGTGTTTGCGATGTTTATTTTCTGTAACTAAATACTAAAGAAGGGAAAGGTATTACCTGTTGTTATATATAATATTGCCTTGTTTGATAGAAACTTTCTATAATCATTCTAGAACGGTCCACCAACTGTTAAATCCAAGCGCTCCAGTAATGGGTGACGATTATCACATAGCTACAAGCAATCGGGGCTTAGCGAGATTTGATCCATGGCCTGCACGACAGTTGTATAATACCATTATAAAGAGGTATTATATATTGTATATTTCATCAATATGGCCTAAAGTGAAGGAGCGAGCTGGACTAGTGGTTAAAGCGCGGGACTTCGGTTCCAGAGGTGGCGGGTTAAAATCCCGCCAAATCACCAATGGGTTTTATCCATGTGATAATGCCGCAAACCCTAGTTCTAGCCTGAAGTAATGTGTAAACAATTCCGGGCTCGCTCCTAGCGTCCTAGGACAAAAAGGCCGTAACTGTATTTGACCCGAGCTCAAGTTTTACGATCGAGGTGAAGTCGAGGTCTGAAAATGAGCAAGGGTTGGAAGGACTATTTTTGTCCGTATGATGAACTATATTTTTCGCCATATTACACCATTATTTTAAGGAATTATGCTACAAAACAGTTTTTGTACAGTTACCAGACAAAGTGGTCTTTCTTGCACTGATTATAAATTTAGTTGCTCCCCAGGTAACTAACTGGTGCGTTTACTTACTTTTGCAGCAAAATCTTTTTGCCGCACTCCAGGATTCCAAGCAAACAACACAAAACAGAGTTCTTTTATTAGGCACGTAATACGTGTACGCTTGAAAATAAATTGGCAACACTTGAAGATACTAAGACTACGATCAGCTGGTCCATCGTTTGCCATTTCATTCAACGCTTGGATTTCACCTAACTTGAACACGTGTTGTGTAGTGCTTGAAATACTAATGCTTTATAGTAATGTAGGAAAAATATAATGTGTAACGCGAGTGCAAAGTGTCTTTGCTACACTCAGGAAACTTTCCACACTCACCTGCGGCTCGTGAGTAAACATTTCTCTCATGTACAGGGAAGTGCCACTTCACACACTAGTTGCACAAATAACTATTTCACCTAAAGATAATCCATCAAAACTACTTCTAAATTGTTTTCAATTTAATTTGCTGATGGAAACGAGCAGCTGTGATTCAATATTTCCGTCTATTACAATTATATCAATTATTTAAGATGGTGACGCCACTATGTGCATATTTTAACCCAAATGTGAGTGAAGGATGAGTGTAGGATCAGTGGCGCGGTCTTGTAGTCTTTTAGTCGATTGTGTTAGTGAACATTTTCGATGTTAGAGTGACATCGATATACCCCTAGGAATATCGATATATCTACCTTTTTACAATACCTTTTTGTCCATACCTTTTTACAATAAGGCAACAACAAACTACAATCGATTAAACAATCGATACATACTTTCGATACATGGGATTTTGATTCCAATCAAAATTTAAAGCTGAGTTGACAACTAATTTTTACTCCCTATTGACTAAAAATGCTTTTCACCACACTATGACGTTTTTAGCTGTTTTACATACGTTAATTGATGGCTGAAAGCTACGTTTTTCTGACCATGCCAGCTGTCATCGTTATTTGGGGGCCGAGCAGGTTTTTAAATCTCTAGGGCCGCAAAATCAGCTGCCCGCTTACTTGAATGTATATTAAATACACAATCAGTATCCATAGCACTGCAATAGAATTGTTTTATTGTCAGCGCTACCAACAACTATTTAATATTATTTTTGCTGATTCCTCCAATTATTTCTTCACATAACCTTAAAGTTTTAGTTCTGTTGACTATCAGTGTGCATTATTATTGTGGTGAATATTGGTAGTAGGGTATAGTGTGGTGAAAAACTGCGTTCGTACTACGGACCGAAATGGTTTTGCAGCTCTCGATCGTTTTTAAGTTCTAAAACTATCTCCAGCCGGCAAAACCTCATTTTCGGCCCTAGGTACGAAATATAAATGCTACTCTAACCCAAAAACGCATATATTTAAAACTGCTGTTGTTTCTGCAGTATAAAGGAAAATAATCCTAACCTAACCAGACTCAACAATTGCAGTAAGTTGAGGTAAGCTAGAATAATTGGAAATAGAAATTTAACAAAAATGCTCAAACAGAGTGGTAACAATATCAAAAGCACACAATTTAATATTTATCTGAAACTGTAGCAGTAGTTTCTCTCTATACAGTCATAAGCATTAGCTATATTCATAATCACGAGAGCAATGTCTAGAGATCGGTAGTCAGTGAACGTATTGCATATGTATACTTGACATTCCATTAGTCGATTGGGGGGGTCCAACTTGTGGCATGAAGCCTGTCTTTATGGCAAAGAGATATAATGCTCTGTCAGTGTACATCAGCTTCATCTATG